TCTGTCTGTCTGTATGTCTGTTTGTCTGACTGTCTGTGTCTGTCTGCCTGTCTGTCCGTCCGTCCGTCCTTCTGTCTGTCTGTCTGCCTCTCTGTAGGCGTGCACGCCTTTATGTGTGTGTGCATGCATGCATTCTGCAGACACCTTACCTACTGGTTTTCCCCAAAGGATGGCGATTCGTCCTGATGCCGTTAAGACCAATGCTGCTTGATGCAGTTTGCTTTGGGCATCCCCTTGCGCTCCACACTCTGCCTGCAGGGAAGGGCAAAAGCAGTAGCAATAATTCGGCTTCATTTTCAAGACCGATTGAATCCGTGGCTTTTCATTGCGAAGGTGAATTCTCAAGGCGACGTGCCTCTGACCCCCCCCCGGCTTTCCGGCCATTTGCTGCTCTTGGAAGCGCTGTGTTTGTGATATAAGGGCGGTCGACAAAATCGTTCGTCCGGCGTATGGCGTTTGCTGTTTGCTGAGACTGCTTTTGTGTGCAACATGGTTTGAAAATAAACCCCGCAACAAAACTATCTGTGCATGCACATGTTCGTGCTAGCGGATCGTTTATCTTCGTGTGTGGGGGGGGGGGGGGGGGGAGGGGGGGAGGGGGCCTTGGGTGGATGCGTATATGTATATATATATATATATCTTGCGGTTAGCTGCGGCTTTAGTCTGCCGAGTCGGGGTTATTTCGGGACACCTGCCTCTTTCGGACGGACGGCTTTTACGATTGCGAAAGTCTACGTTCGAGGGTTCTGAAATGTGTGGCGTGGGAAGCTGAAACAGACCTATCCAAAAAGCAAAGAGTTTGCAGGTTCAGGGTTAAGTGTTATGACCTTAAAATCCTTAAACAACTTGAGGGGCCGGGCCAGATGAACGAAAGCTATAGCATAGGCTGGAGGGACGGTAAGAGATGCAGCGCTGGCGAGGCGGGCTCCAAGCATGATCACATCCAAACACATCAGCAACGGAAGGAAAACAGAGCTGACGAGGCGGGGGATCCGCAACAGCAACGAAGGATCTGGCGACGCGGGCTCCAGGCATCCGTACATGCAACCAGAACCGTCTCTGGTCGCCTCGGCAACGTAGGGGAAACAGAGATGGCATCATCACCTCCGGCACATCCAATCACATCAACAACTCAGCAG